CTTGGTTTAACCATGACAATTCCCTAGAATCAAGGTTGGTTCAAGCTAGCAATTCCAAGGCTTGGAATGACCTAGATATGATATATTGAATCAAGCTTGGTTCAAGCTAGGAATTCCAAAGCTTGGTATCCTAAGCTGATCCAAGCTTGGACCCATCGTCCAAGCTTGGATTTCCCCACCTGGGTACGTGCACATAAATTACAATACGCATTATTTTTGTGCTCGTTATAGCCTTATACGTCGAAAAATGAAGAGCATTTTCCTCGCTCCATAAAACTATGTGCACATCTTTTCAAATTAAATAAGTTCGATGTGGACGATTTTCAAGAAAATTATTAATCTTTAATTCGTGTGTACATTTTTTTGTACACATCTTATATTATCTGCACACTGAGAAATGACACTGTGTACAACTTGATAGAGCGGAATTTTTTGACCACACTTGAGGTGCACGTTAAAAAATTAAATGCGCATATTTTATTTGATGTTTCCATCTGTGCACAAACTTAATTGTGTACAATCCTTATGTGCATGACTCATACCCTGTCTTGTGAATGACCGGAAAACGGAGAAAAATACATTCGCGTATGCACTAAGTATCTGTAGATTGTCGGAAAATTTTATGACTTTCATCGGACCCTTGAACTGGAATCAGACGATCGTGGTAGAGCTAAAATTTTTATTTCTTCCCAATTCCCTGTTGCCCAGAGTGTAGATTTTCTTGATAGGTTGAGCCCACGTATACGTCGTAAAAATCAGAGAGATAACCTCGCTGGACATTGAAAGGAAATTTTTAATACATGGCCCGATCCATGTCTATATTTTTATTGCTTTTCTTTCCCGAAAAACTCGTTAGGTTGTTTTTATAATGATAAATCATTAAAACCACTGGAGATATTCATATTAATATTGCTAAAATGAAGATATGGATCATAATTAAGAATTGAAAAAGATATGAAATGTCAGTTTTAAAAAAATTAATCAATTTCTTATTAATTTGAAGTTGAACTTATGAATTGTACTCTCTTGTGCCAGAATTTTTCATGGGAATCCAATAGAATCGTCTTAAAATAAAAAAACTATCATTCTTTAGTAGATGTTTTCACTTGTGATCATTTTTCAATTATCTTTGCTTGGTCACTCTCTGCAGCTAATTATTCGAATTCTTTTCTGCAGTAATTACTCATTTTCGTGGTTAACTGGAAATGCGTAAATTGGTAATTCAAATTTCTTGTTTGCATGCTTTTTTAAGATCAAAAATATTTTAAATTCAAGTAAGACGGCCACTTGCTGAACATTTAATTCCTGGATTGCAGAGAATGCCATTAAATTTTTTGAATACTGCTTATGGAATGTTCAACAAACATTAAGAAACATTAAAAAATCTTTTCACCAGTGTTTTTCAATTCATTTGCTGCCGGAATTGGAGAAATTTATCCAACAGAACTTTCTGCGAAAGTTGACACAAAAAAAATGAACTATTGATATTGTTTAACAATGTAGAAATATGTCAAGAAAAATATTCACATTCTTACTTCAAAAATTCAAAGTTTTGCTTTTAACATTTTTTATTTGAAAAATATTCATACAACGAGCTGCATGGAAGTTCCCTCTTAACGAACTATCTCCCCCCTTAGGTAGTTAGTTTCCTTCGGACAGGATTCCGATGGGTCCGTGAAAAATGAGAAAGTAGAAGAAAGACGAAAACCAAAACTGAAAACAAAACGTACATGACCATGGCGATTCGATGGTGCATTTGGTCGAAAAGCTCATGCCGCCGTCCCGATTCGAATCGAAAATGAACTCTAGGAAATCCTCTCGCAAATGTACTAATAATGTCAGCCAAAATGTGCCGTGGACGTGACTTCAAATGATGCAGTTGATTCTTAATGCTCTAGAGCTTTCGCTCTTTGACGGGCACACCAACTGCATGTTCCGCCTTATAATTATAATTAAGACATGGCTCGACTATCACTAACAATACCTAGTTTCTTAATTTCCCATTGTGCTTTCATTTTACAGATAAGGTGGAATTACGATTCAATGGAAATGAAGCCTATCTACAAAACACAGCCTATGATACCGTGCCTATGATAGTCCATGGAAACGGACACAGTAAAGTGATCTTAAACTCTTTGGGAAATTATCTTGCAAGTGCCTGGAGTGCAGAACAAGGGTGCCTAAACTGCTGGGACGGTACCGTAGAGCTCTTTAATGAGCAACCAGAAACATATCCGCCTATACTGATCGCAATTTTCGTCGACCGGCCAACACCGTTCCTCCAGGAATTTTTCCACAAAATTTACCATCAAGCTTACCCGAAATCGAAACTTCATCTCTTTATTTATAATAGTGAAACTCATCACGACTATGTGGTTGAGGAATTCACTGAAAATAGTGGAAATGAATACAAGAGTGTGAAGATTGTCACTGCAAGTGATAGGATTGGTCTTCCTCAGGCTAAAATGCTTGCTATGTTAGTTCACTTACACTAAATTCAATTTTAACAATTAGAAGAGGGTAACTGTATGAGCTACACTACGTCAATTCAGCAATTCAGTTTTTTTAATTTTTCGTAAGAATGGAAAAAAATTCAGTAAATGGCTAGTATAGCTCCACCAATCTAATCAAGAAGTTACGATACTCTTCCCTTCTGCTCATTTATCATCTCAATGTAGGAGTTTACCAGATATTACTGTATATCTTAAAAACACTCTTTTCAGGGATGGCAAGTCTTGAAGGGTCAAATAATTTGAATAATTTGAACCTGTCAGCAAAAATTTTTTCATCATTTTAAAAATTAAAATTCCCAACCTTGCGTAGAAAACTCTAAAAAAGCTTTTATGTACCGAAAATGATGCGATTCTAACCTTGCTTCGCTCGGTAAAATCACGGAACGAGGAGCTGATGACAGAAATTTGTGAGCCGTCGGATTCCTCTCCGTGTTACAACTGCCCACCAGCTCAAAAACCCATTACATTTTATTGTTCTAGGGAAATGAGTGGCCACTTAGCGCTTTCCTTTTTACTTACCTCCTTTAGGCCTCGTAACATAGTATAACATATACCACACTATATGAAAAGCATTTTAGCAAGATATTGTTGATCAACACATTTTGATAAAATACGTTCCCAAAATACTTTTCAGCCGTTGTAGCATAAATTAGTATTTGTAATTCTGCTATGTAGAATGCTCTCACACATAAAAGCACGAAGTTTGAGCATCGTGTCTGTATGCTGCGGTATCCAGTCAGCGATCACTTTTTCTTAAGATTAACAAATACCAGGAAACATTCGTTTCCAAAAATTTGAAATTTCGTCAGTTGATTGGCATAATTTGAGACGAACTTTGTCTCCCGAGACACCCTTATCGGTACTTTCTGAAGAAACGCCATTTGCATGTTTAGGCTTATTCCCTCTCTATTGTTGCTAGCCCAGATGGAATTTGTCTTTCTTGGTTTTCTTCCATTTAAGTACCACGAGTACAGCAGTTAGATATCCCCCAAGCAGAGCTGCAAATGCCCGGGGTTTGACTGCTTCCACTCGTAGATCGCCTGGTATCCGAGGGCACCGTTAACGGAGCAACTTCTCTCACACCCCGCAGGCATCAGCACGGTTTGGAGGTATCGCGATAGTGAAACATAACCACTACCACGATGCCCCCGCGCATGACATCTTAGTTTGGAAAACTAGTCCGCGACGTGGGTTTACGCGTCGCCGCCCGGTTCCCCAGTTGGAAACAATTTATAACCATCGCAGACCACCCTTTTGGTCCTCCCCTGATCGGCTTCCAGGTGTCTTCGCCTGAATTTTCACCAAGGTCATTCGGTGTGACCATCTACTTTTCGCCAGCTGGAGGTGCGCTAGGTTAGCTACCCAACCGTGTTCTCGGCACCCCAGTCAAGGAGTTTAGAAATACCCAAAAACGATGATGAGATAAGGCAATATAACATTTTCCAGGATTGAAAACATCCAGTCTGAGCTCAATTGCAGTTCTTCCAATTTAACAGAGAATTACCTTCTTCCAAAAGCAAAACGATGATTATGTTCACTATACAAAGTGATACAATTAGTGAAGAGAATTTTATCCGTGTTATCTCCAGTTAACATTCAGCATTTCAATGAATGATTCATGAATTCTAAAATGAGTGATCACATTGCGTTACATAACCCTTCATTTACTGAAAGGTTTCTAATTAGCATCACGACAATGTTAATCCTCAATCGTAATTCATGTGGTGGCATAAATGAAGAACTTATTATCTCCAAATAATGTGGTAAAATTGCTTCAGGCATGTCTCCATTAATATAATTTTTTACAGTATGGATTTCTGTAACAAATTTTCTCGGCTGATTTGATCAACAGCTCAACGCTTCTTCGAGTAATATCATTAACATTTTTCGCTGGCAAAATTACCCAGTTCATTAATTTATCAAATTCTTTGATCTTAATCACCTTACCATATAAATCTATTACGATACCTGCACCTGAAGATGCTACACACTCATCTGTTAGATATATTACGCAATCATTTATTTTCAATATTGCATGCCCAACAGATAGCAGAAATTGGGCAAATTGTGTTTCTTGTCGTAAAGAATGTATATTCTCTGTCAGAGTGAACTTGGAACAGATGGGCCTCAAGTGACTAAAATTAACTGATAAATTACCCAGTTCACTCCGGGTTTTGTTTCATTTCACGGATAGTAGCTAACGAAAGTTGCCACGTAAGAGAATTATCTTTCCCTCAAGTGGTTTGTCTGTCTAATATGTCATGAAGTGTGCTACCGTCCATTTCCAGAGCATATTTAGGTGACATCGGTGCTTTATCCCAGATGAACATTTTGATGCTTATTAAATACTCTGCGTCAGTTAACTGGGACTTCATAATTTGGTGATGAAGCTGTATAAATTGCAATTCGAAGTCTAAATCAGGCATAGGCAAAGTCGGACCTTCGGGAGCCGGGTTCACAAAACCCTATTAGACCCCTTATTAGAAATACAATACCCCAATTGCGTGAAGCCCACCCTAGTCAAGCTGTGAGCAGCAGTGTGTACGAAGTGGGGAGCGGTTAAATAGAGAGAGCGCAGCGCGCATTTTTTAGATTTTAGAGAAAAAAGTCTAGAAATTTATATAAAAAAAATAATTTAACATTTAATAAATTATATTACATTTATATATTATATTATATAAATTTAGTATAATATAATATAAAAATTAAAATATTAAATATTATTATATAAAAAAAAATTAATATAATTTATATATATATGTTATTATATATATTATATATTATATATATTATTTATATATGTATATATTATATATATATATCATATTATATGGATATATTTTGATATGCATAGCGCCAAAAAAAGCTGACAAAAAACGTTACATGCTTTTTTTTAAAAGGGATAAAACTTTCCCGCCTAAAAATTCGAACAAATTTTCACCAATTCAACGTAAGATAGTATATTTCACGCCTAGGACGGAAAAAGGGAATCTGACGAATGCGACTGTATAGTCCGAGTCGAAGACGAGGATTATAACGCGCATGAATCAGAATCACTTTTTTCGCCGTGGCTATGATGCTATTTTATGTCATTGTGGCCGAAAACGCGTTTTTATCCGAGCGAAGCGAGGTTAGAAACGCGTTTCACCGGCCGCAATGACATAAAATCCTTAGTTGTATCGGGGGTAATTATTGAAACATCATGGTTCCAGAAATTGAATATTTCTTGGTAACCTTAATAGTTAATAATTATTTTATGAAAAATGGAAAAAATATGAGATGTCAGTTCCTTAAACTTCAATCACTAAAGTATGAATGTACGGTTCATTTTATAACTTTTGCCCACTGTTGACCAGATCACACATTTTTCAATCGATGAAAACTTTCCGATTAACTTTGCTCGATTACTCTCTGCAGCTAATTATTTTTATGTTTTTCTCCAGTAATTATTCATTTTCGTGGTTAACTGGAAATGGACGAATTTTCAAATGTTTAACAGTGGGATTGATAGAATGAAAAAAAGTCAACAAGACATGAAAGAATGGAACTCATATTTTTTGTTTCGTAGTGCTTTTTCAAGGTCGAAAATCTTTAAAATTTTTAAATACTGCTTAGGAAATGTTGAAACAATATTAACAAAAATTGAAAAATCTTCTCACCGGTTCGTGATTTATTCAACAGTGATTTATTCAACAGAATTTTATGCGGAAGTTAATACAGAAAAAAATGATTAATTGATATTTTTAACAATGGAAAATACAGAAAAAACTATATTCATATTTTTCGTTCAAAAATCGAAATTTTTGCACGTTGACTGATGTAATGATGTCCCCACTCTGACCCAAGCATCGTGGCCCCTCCGGTTTCCTGCACAATATAATAGGATCTATTCTTTATAGTCATTGGCCTAATTGGGGTTGAGAGCTAGGTGAGCCCATTCAGCGCACTTTGCCCATGCCTGGTCTAAATGCCCTATGAACCGTTACACCATAAGAGAGTAGAATTGCTTTTACGTCATAGCAAACGATATATAGTTATGTAAATTAATGTTTTAGCTGACCCAAATGCCCTATCCATGAAAGAAGCTCGTTCCTTCGGATCATCATCACTATTCAATGCTTTCAAAATGGTGTGAACAGTTCTGTACCAATCTCCTCATGTTCTTGTGACAGCATATCATTTTGGGCACCATCTGCTTCTGTGATCTGCATTATTGATGGAAAATCAGTAAGGCTTGACCTTTCCTATGGAAGCAATGAATTTATTTGAATATAAGCTTTTCTATGGGCTTGTGGCAGTGATTTTGTTCTCGAAACATAGCGTAATAACGCATCCTTGAGTTCATCCCATAATTGCTCTGAATTAATTGGTCTATAGTGAATTAAAATACAACCAAGTAATTGTCGTAACTATATGGGCATCATCCAAACTTCGGCTTCATGGAGGCCATTGCTTCATTCACCATCGTGTTCGATAAGGCCCAAACCTAAGCATGTCCTGGCGTAACAATCAGGTGTTACTGCATTAACAACTCGTATGTCTTCAAAACTTGTGGCGCCTTCCAGGGAGATCAAAAATAATCTGACATGAAATATCACTCAGTTTGTCCTGATATTTTCGACACCAATCTAACAATTATATTTTTAAATAATTATTATAATTCAATTCAATACTTTTGTGCGAATGACAAAATCATGCCAACGATTCACATAATATTGAGGGGGCGAAGACCCCTCCCACTCCTCACATAACACATTAAATGAAAATTTGAGAAAAAAAAACATAATTTAATTTCATGGGGAATCGAATCCTTAACCCTTTTATGTGCCATAATAAATAACGAAATTTTTTTCTAAAATGAATTTTGTGATTTACCCGCTTCCCTTCTATCCTTTATATTAAATAATTTTTATTAATTAAATTATTAAAATTAGGATTTTTAAATATTTATTATTAGGAATTA